TGACATCATCATTAACACGTCTAAAGCCTACTATACTATAAGTGCCCAAGCACTGCTAAGCAAACCCTCTTCTCACATGGATAAGGTTTTTTTAAGGTCAAGCCCGCCACAACCTCCCTAAACCGCTACAACTCCTGTAAGCCAGGATCTACAGTAGATACAATCATGAAAGCACCGAAACACTGAAGTCCGGCGCGTCCCAGGGACATGAGTAACTGTCTTGGTTCCCGCAACGAAGTGAATCAGAAGATATTATAAGAGGAGAAGAAGAAAAAACTATAGTTTCCACTTCCCTCGGTGAATTACTGCATGAGACAGAATGAATTAAGTCTAAAGGCACAAAGAAGAGACTGTACGGAGAAATTTTACTAAAAACTATGTGTGAGCTGTTATACTTACTTCCAGTAATAGGTATGACAAAAGCGCCTAAACGCACGGATACGGTTTGAGAATCAATCATCCCGCTTGCTCAATGCAGGTTGGCGATTTCAAACTTATAATTAGACATTATGAAAGAAAAACTGCCTCGTTTGCCGAGTGATCACAAGTGCAACTGCCGTGCAAGAGGTTTCCAGTTCGATTCCTGGGTAAGGCAAAGAATCACTGGATATTTAAAAAAAAAACAGTCATAGCATGGAGTCTGGAAATGTGCCCGATATATGGCAATAGGCTCACCCTCTATTACATGTGACGCATAACATAAACAGTGAAAAATGGGTTTTACATTGTACCGTGGGTTAGGTGCAGTAATGTGCACATTGCCTACCTCTTCAGCGATAAAAATGCATGATGTTATGTTAATCAGAAATTATAAGCCCAGATTTCTTCACGATGTTTTCCTTCACCGTTTGTCAGTGGTGTCTAGATAATCTTAGAATATTAACGAGAATTAATACCTATATCATATAGAACTCAATAAATTGTATTTACACCTATAGGTAGAGAGATACCTAAGAGATAAGTACCTAGTATTATGTCCATGTGTCAGGTACATATGTACATACATATGTATATGTATTATTCAATGACCAAATAATGTTTCAATACAAAAATTATAAGAAAGATGGAACTACTAATAAAATTCATCCTTATTCAAGCATCTTAAGGTTGATTCTAGGTTCCTCACATAGCAGGGATATCCTGTAATACTTGGGTATTAAATTCGTACCAATTTGCGAACACCAAACAATCTTGCGGTTTTGCATTGTCATTCAAATATTTACATAATAAATCTTAAAGTGGACTTATAAATAGCTATGATGTACGAGTTGCGTTATTATTCCATTAAAACGACCATTTTCCTGGTTTCAGAACATGTGTGGGTGTCTAATACCCATCTACTTAATCCTTTTATGAATTAAACCACAATAATAATATATTTTCAAGTTCATGCTCATAACAAAAATGTAGGTATACTTGTATAAATTGTATATATTGGAGGTGATAAATGCATATAGCCAATTGAAATAATATTTTATAGTTCATTTTCTGAATATATAAATTATATTCCTCGTGTAAGAACATTTTGAATCGCAGAATTATACATAATTATACCAATATAAATTTATACGGCCGTATTTTTTTAAGAACAACGCCATCTTTCCGGTGGTTTTGTAAACTTGTAATTTGAACTACAAATGCGACCCTCGTATAAGCTTCGGTGTGTAATAGGCAGAGGGCATTTATGAGCATCCTCAACTAGATCAAGAGGAGATTAAAATAATTTTAGGGTATGAAATGTACCTTTAGTAAATGTAATAAGTACCAAAATCCCATGTAATACGGGTGAGGCGAATTAATAACAGTCACAAGGCGTCCATTGCAAGTAAATAAGTTTAATTAGCAGTAGTATTTTTTTCATTAATTTTAGTTTGTTTGCATTTGTTCTTGTCGAGTGTTATTGCTCAATGGGCCCAATTAAATATGTTTTAAGTGTGGGAGAGCCATTCTTCGGCACGAATGGGCCGGCTCGACTGGAGTGATACCGAGGCCTCGGTATCACTCCGAAGACAGTGAAGACAGTGTGGGTTAAGTTATCGGAGGACCAATTTCCACCCCTCCCCCTTGCCTGAATCCCCAACAATCTTCAAATTCGTAATACCAAAAGACCGGTAACGCACTTGCAACGTTTCTTGTGTTCCAGGTGTCATGGGCGGCGCCGATTGCTTACCATTAGGTGTTCCGTCTGCTCGTTTACCGGCTTATGCCATATAAAATGTACATTTTACAAGCGCATGTTTTGACAGGACATTAAAGGCATTCAACCTGTATTACATATAACATA